GTGTCGTTTCTTTTTCTTAGCGAAGAGGACCCGTCCAGTGCTGTCTTGGGTCTTGTGGGCCCACTATGGGCCCCATTTCGTATTCGAACCGTTCTTTTGTAGGTCGAACATTTCATGATATTCATTTTCGATAAAAGGAATTAGGGTTCCAATCCGATAAACTGTAACCTGTACAATTTATTCATTTGTCACTAAAAAAAAGTAGGTTTATTTTTAAAAATACTTATTGTTGTCTATTTTTTTAATGAAAAATTGAATTGAGTTATAAGATTAATCGAAATCGGACTGACAGCTAATTTTTTATTGGACCAAAATATACAAAGTGCGCGCACAAAATGAATGACTCGGAAGTCATCAAAAAAGGACCCGATAATGGTGGAGCTCACGACCGAATTCCCAAACAATGCGCTTCCAGTCAAAATTAACACTGAGATTGGTACAACAGCATCTGGTCTCCTTTCTGGGGTATAGATCCTAACAACAGTCTCATTCTAGGTGCTATTAACATAGATAGGACCATGAATATTAAATGTACAATGTGTTATGCGTGTTTGAGTGGACAAAATTGGATTTTCTCATAATGGTGGAAATTACTAAAATATAACTACCTTCAAAATAAAAGCTCGCCGTAGACATCGCCAACAGTGCTAATCCTGTAAATGATAACACACATAAAATCGGTGTAGGAAATCAAAATAAATTTTACTCACAAACATAAAAAAATGATAAAACTATTCTATAAGCAGAACTCTTCAGGTGTTGAGAATCAATAAAAAAAAAAAAAAAATACGGATAAAACCGCTCTTTCCTAAAGTGATAAGACGACCATCCAAGTCAATAGTATCACAAGTTAAAAAATTCCTTAGTGCCTTTTATCGCGCATACACACGTTATCAAAATAGCACGAACCTGTAAACACCGAAAACTACGAACAATTAACATTAATGATATCTCTCTTGCCGAAACAATATAAGAACAAGTCAGTAATATGCCCAAAAAAATAATATACTATAGATGCTCCTTTCTCTATACGTAGAACGTAGACATATCCAGGATTCAATAAAACACACAAAAACTCCTTGTGTACTTTTTACCCACTACCAGTATAACCTCTAATTGTAATACTCTAATTGTTAAACACTCTAATGTAACACGCGAGAAACACACTAATAGCATAGATGGTAAGATTTTCCTCCGC